TTTAGGGTTTAGGGTTCAGGGTTTGGAGGAAATGCAAAATACCCAAGTCAGTCATAAACCTTAGTAGGCCTGAATCTAAGGCGGGGACACGGAGTTTGAGTTCCTAGGGCAAAGAACCCTACACCCCAAACCCTAAACCTTCCCTACCTATGAATACTTGAACCATACTGAAACATTTTGGTTTTGGGATTCTTGACTACTGAACCCCCTCCCCCCCTCTAGAACCTAAACCCTAAATCCGGCTCTGCCACCTGTACCCCAAACGGTGCTGGCTGCGGAGCCTTGAGACCATGTACTGCAAGGCATAGTCGAAGGCCCCTGAAAAGCAGGTTTAGGGTTTAGGGCTTAGGGCTTAGGGCTTAGGGCTTAGGGTTTAGGGTTTAGGGTTTCGGGTTTCGGGTTTCGGGTTTAGGGTTTAGGGTTTAGGGTTTAGGGTTTAGGGTTTAGGGTTTAGGGTTTAGGGATTAGGGTTTAGGGTTTAGGCTTAGGGAGTGCCTAGGGGCGGGATTTCGAAGCCCCCTAGGGCCGGAACAGCAAAATATCATGTTGCTCAAGCCTTGGCCCCCCCACACGTTAGTCCCGTGAAGCAGGGCTTCGGGTTTAGGGCTTAGGGTTGAGGGCTTAGGGTTCGGGTTTAGGGCTTTGTGTTGAGGAGCCCATATTCCCTGATGGAGCCATCTGCCGTTCGGGATACTCAACCAAACCACTCAGAGGCCGACTTCAAGCATGTCGGAATGTCTGCACCACGGCCCTAAACGGCTTCAAGGCACTTGATTCGCGGCTGAGCTCAGCGGCACGCCTCGAAAGAAGGTGGTCGGGATCCAGCTGCCTGGCGCAGCGCAGCTGCGAAGATTCGGCTTTGCGTGCTTGCATCCTTCTTTGCAAGCTCGTGCCGCGCTGTGTGCAAAGCCTGCTTGAGGCGAGCGATTTCTGGCCGGAGCATCTCGTTCTCTGTACGCAGCTCCTTGATGTGGCCCTCCTGGGTCTTGGCAGATGTCGTGGAGCCTTACTTGGGAAAAGGCTGTGCCTACTGCTTTGGGTCTTACCGAATCTCGGAGTAGCCTTTGGGGTGAAGTTTGGAGGGCCTTGAACCCTAAGCCCGAAAACTGGCTAAACCTTAATTCACCCTAATCTTCCTAAACGCCCCGAGCTTCCGAAACTTCCTAAACGACCCAAACTTCCTAACCTAAACCCTCAACCCTAGACCCAAACTACCCCTAAATCAAAACTCCCTAAACCCTGAACTCCCCAAACCCGAAGCCCTAAACTCTAAACCTCCTCAGGGCCTTTGATTGTAAACCCTAAACCCTAAGCCCTAAGCCCTAAACCCTAAACCCTATACCCTAAACCCTAAACCCTAAACCCTAAAACGACCTCGCGCCAGTCCCACCATCTGGGCGCCGATGCCGATCCGTCCTTCCTGGGCTGAGGGTTCAAGGTTGAAGGCAGGGTTTAGGGTTTAGGGTTTCGGGTTTAGGGTTTGGGGTTTAGGGTTTAGGGCTTGGGGTTTAGGGTTTAAGGTTTAGGGTTTAGGGTTTTAGGGTTTAGGGTTTTAGGGTTTTAGCGTTTTAGGGCTTTAGGGTTTAGGGTTTTAGGGTTTTAGGGCTTTAGGGCTTTAGGGCTTTAGGGTTTTGGGGTTTTGGGGTTTTAGGGCTTTGGGGTCTTAGGGTTTTAGGGTTTTAGGGTTTTCGGGCTTTAGGGTTTTGGAGTTTTGGGGTTTTGGGGTTTTAGGGATTTAGGGATTTAGGGATTTAGGGTTTTGGGGTTTTAGGGTTTTAGGGGTTTAGGGTTTTAGGGTTTTTGGGTTTTAGGGTTCTTTTTAGGGTTTAGGGGTCTCAGCTGAGGGATGTCAGGGGTTCAGGACTGGTTTTTCTGTTTTTTTACGCCTTTGGACAGTAGAGCTTTCCAACAAACACTAAACCCTGAACCTTAAACCCTAAACCCCTAAACCCCTAAACCCTAAACCCCTAAATCCCTAAACTCCTAAACCCGGTAACGCCGCTGATTGCGGCCCCGCACGCTTTGCGGGTGTCTTGTTGCTGTCGGACGCCAGAAAACGCGGAAAACTCGAGGTTTTTGCGCGCCGCATTCGCGGGACGCATTTTGACTATGGTCAAAATCACCACTGGCACCATGGGCTCGGTGCTCGGGAGCGCGAATTCACTGCGCACAGCGATGTTTTCAAGACGCATGGCAACCAAAAAAGTGCTTGCTTTTCGCACGATGTTTTCGCACGAAAACACTGCGCACAGCGTTCTTGCGCTTATGTTGTACAAAGTGGCAAAAATGTGTACAGAGAGGCAAACATGCTGCAAATATCAGTGTTGTGGCATCTTCGCCAAAGGCATTAGTGCTTGTGACCGCGTGTCTTCTTCATAATATGTTGTATAGAGAAGCAAACATGCTGCAGATACCAGTGTTTTGGGCATTGTCGCCAAGGGCACGAACGCTTGTGGACAGGTTCGGTGAAGACTATGAGATTCTGCAGGAGCCTCAAAGTCACGGAATTTCCCCCCCCCCCCCCCCCAAAAAAAAAAAAAGAAAACCCGGAAACCTGCCGAAACCTTCGGGGCCGCAATCGACGGCGTTAGCCTAAACCCCTAAACCCCTAAACCCCTAAACCCCTAAACCCCTAAACCCCTAAACCCCTAAACCCCTAAACCCCTAAACCCCTAAACCCCTAAAACCCCTAAACCCCTAAACCCCTAAACCCCTAAACCCCTGAACCCCTAAACCCCTAAACCCCTAAACCCTAAACTTCCCCTAGAACCTGAACCCTGAACACTTCAGGCGTCTAGGAACAACAGCTCCTGCCTTTATCCTTGCCATGCGACTTACAAGCCAGGGTGTTTTAGGGGCTCCGGGATTTTTAGGGATTTCGGGTACAGGGTTTAACGTTCAGGGTTTAGGGGTTGCTTAGGGCTTGGAAACCCTAAACCTAAACCCTAAGCTCTAAACCCAAATTGGGCTTCAGGGCTCTGAGGGTCTAGGGTAGGATTAGGGGGACCCTTGGGGATATAGACCCTCTGAATTAGGAAGAGGGTTAAGAAGGGTTCCTTCTTAAGGGTCCCCCTTATCCCACCTAGGATAGGGGTTCTCGTGAGCACGAAGGGCGGATGAGCTTCGTTCAGCAGCTCGATGGCGATCTTGTAGCCCTTGCCGACCTTGCTCAGCTTTCCCTGGTGCCCCTAAACCCTAAACCTTCTGGACCCTAAACCCCAAACCCCAAACCCTAAACCCTATACCCTAAACCCTAAGCCCTAAACCCTAAACCCTAAACCCTCCTAGACCCTGCACCCAAAGCCTAAACCCGTAATTGTCACGTGGAACCTATACCCTAGAGTATGGCGTCGGACGGACAACCGGACCGTGAAACCGCACGGTCGGCTCCCGCAGTCCACGGCTGGCACGGTTGCACGGCTGCACGGTTCTACGGTTGTACGGTTTCGCGGTTGCCCGCGCAACCGTAGAACTGTGCAACCGTGCCAGATCCACGGCTGCCCTAGTTAACGGTACAGTTTCACGGTTGACCGCACAGTACCCCCGGCTAATCATACGGTTCCACAGGTATCCCACGCATGACCATATGGTTGACCGTGCGGTTGACCGTACGGCTGACTGCACGGCTGGGTTAACCGTGCAGGTTTGCAAGTCCGGCTGGATGCGGTCGACCCAACCGTACGGTTGACCGTATTTACGTTTGACCGACCGTAAAGTCCACCTATATTGCGGTTCACGGCTGACCGTACGGCTGACCGTACGGCTGACCGTACGGCTGACCGTACGTCGACCGTACGGTTGACCGTGCGGTTGACCGCACAGTTGTCTTACGGCCGACCATACGGTTGGCCGTACGGTCAGCCGTACGGTCACTCCCTCTGTCTTAATTTGTATATTTGTGTACTTCACTTGACCGTACGGTCAACTGTGAAACTGTACGTTTAACCGTGGAACACCGCGGAGCCGCCATCCACGCTGTCAGCCGTAGCCGCGGTTGTCAAACCAACCGGGGCTTATAAGTCCCGGCCAGACATGGCCTCCGTTTATGGGATCGCAACAGATCGAGGAGATCGCACGAAATATATTTTTGAAGGCTAAGCAAGTGATCCCAGCTGTACTTCCCTTCTGCCAAATCAACAGCAAGGTTTTGTGGACGCTTATGCTTGGGTCAACTTGGGCCGGGCTTTCGGGCAAGGTTCTTTGCGAACTCGACAAGAAGCAATCCAAAAGGATCTCTTCTCCTTTCTACCTCAGCAGTCGGGTTTTGGATTCAAGGCTTTGCAGTTTTGAGGCGGTTCTATGAGTCTCAATCTCGTACTCTATCGCTTTTCCTTAAGGAGCTATCCTAGAAGAACAATAGCTATGCATTATATATATCACCTCTCTCGCCACCTTTAAACCCTAGAGCGTATACATCGCAGAAGCGAGGAATCGGAATGCTGTTGCGATCAAATACGGTTCGGTGTTGTTCGAGCAACTCTGCCACATCAATCTTGTACCCTACAACTCTTTCCTGAAGCATGCAGGCATGAGATGCAAATCATGCGAATTGGCGCCGTTCTACAGTGTGGTCTCATAAGTCTTACCCTTTGCTTCCATTCTATGTGCGGCACTCCAACGCCGACCTACATTACTTATACGGCGCAGAATGCTACCGGTCCTGGAGCCACGCAAAGGGGCCGGGCGAAGCATTTTTCTTACATGTCTCGTACTCTGAGACTGAAACTCTTTTGTTTGCGCGCAGGCATGAGACGCAAACTATGCGACTGTCCAAAGTTTAGTGTCTAAATCAATCCCAACACCGACCTACATTACCTGCGTGTTGCACAATGTCACTGCTGATGGAGCCACGCAGACTCACGCAGACACATGGAGCGAGGCATTTGTTTCGCTGCATGATCACGGGGAACTTAAGGTGTGGCAGCTTGTTGGAGCGCTTTGTTTTGCGAGTTCGCGGCCTTTGCGGAAACATGATCTCATGGCATTGCGGTGAAACATTCAGAGAAGTCGAGACGAGAAGGGAGCAATGGGAAGGCTTCACGCAGCTCTGTGGCAGAGTGGCAAGGTTTCGCTTTGCTCTTGAAAGCGTCGGCGGTCGTGGAAGAAGCGCCTCTTCCGAGCACGCGCGGCTTCTGTAAGTTGGCCCCGACGCTCCAGACACAGGTTGCGTTCGTGTAAGAGGCATAGGAGAAAGGTGAAACCGCGCGATGGCGTCATGCGACGCGCGGAGACTGCGATTTTCTTCCCAAGGCAAAGCTCTGCTCGGCCGCGCTGCTGTTTTGCAATTTGCGTGCTTCTGGGTGTGCGTCCGGCCAAACGCGTGGGAGTGGACGAGCACCGCCGGGTCGGCAACCTGCATGCCCCTTGCGGGAGTGAAAGCGGTCATTCGCCTTGCTCATGGCATTGCGACGACGGCGTCTTCTGGCGCGGAGGAACCTATGCAAAGTGCAGCCGCAGTCATACACAACGAGAGGCATGCACTTGCGCGCAAACTCCCGGCGCTTTTGCTTGGACAATTGCTGCAAAGAGACACGTTGCATCTTTGCATATATGAGTCCAGCAGCTCGGCTAGGAAGAAATACACGCCCGTGGGAGACTCATGCGTGTAGATGAGACGTGCGGCTGCAATTACCTGGCAGGGACGCGCAGCGCAAAGAACGCCTCCGCTGCGTCGCATGCGCACCGCGTGGTCCCACTGCGCTCGGCAACCTGCATCTTGCTCTGCCTGCGTGAAATGCATCTGCTCACCGACCCGGGGGCGAAGTTGACACTCACGTGAATGACTTTCCTTCAACAGGGCACCGTGCGTGGCAAGAAACCGCACGGGAACATCTTTGCTTAGCAAACTGAAAGTTTGTTACGCAGCAGTTTGGAAGAAATAGCGTCGTGATCGAGCCACGCGCTGGACACGAAACAGACGCACAGGATAGGCGGCTGCGGCATGCACAAATGCAAATTTACAAGCTCTGTTTGCCCGCTTGCAAAGAGCGGGCAGCGCGCAGCAAGCAGGACAGGCGCCCGTCCCCGGCGCTTCTGAAATCAGACAGGACTCTCCTGCGCACAGCAAGCTCAGCAAAGCGCGAACATGCAGGTCAGACCCAAAGAATGGTTCTGCGTCTTTGAGGTGAAGGCTGCAGAACTTCTTGCCAGGTATCGGAGGACGCTGGCAGCCGGTCAGACAATGCGCTCGAAGTGGCCGGCAATTCCAAACGCCGTCGTCTGAGTTGGCACAGAGTCGGGTCCGCACTTTTGCATTGCCGCCCAAAATGAGTGCTCGGCCTGCGCAATTTCGGCACACAGTCGCGTGTATTGCTTGTTTTCTTAGTCCCTACAGGCCCTAAAGGTATGTGGAATTCTGAGGGGCTTCTTGCTTCGCTACAAACGCAGACAACAGTGCGTTGCTGACCCATAGGTTTCCTCTTTGAGGACAAAATCACGATACTCCATGCTAGCGTTCAAGCATGGAGGCTTCTGATTGCTTTGCTACAAACGCAGACAACGGTGTGTTGCTGACCCATAGGCTCCCTCTTTGAGGAAATATCACGATACTCAATGGTGGCATTCAAACATGGGGGCTTCTGATGGCTTCCCTACAGGAGAGAGTTTGGGCACTGAGTCCTACAGACTGAACCACAAATCTGGCGCGCAGTGGGGCAGCTTCCCTACAACTCTAAACCCTCAACCCTGAACTCTAAACCCTAAACCCCCAAACCCCACACCGTCTGTGTTGAGGAGTTGAGTAGAAAGGGTTGAACCTGGAACTCTGGTTTAGGTTTCGGGGTTTAGGCTAGAGGGTTTTATAGGGTTCACTGAACCCTTTTTGAAAACCGGACTCCGAGCAATCTGGCCAGCTGTTTTCGTGAAACAAACCAAACCCACAATCACTAAACCCTAGACCCTAAACTCTCATGAATCTCAGAACTCTACCCATAACCCAACTATTAAGTTGCCTTCACTTTCAAGTAGGATGTATAATCGCTGCAATCTTCTAAGCTGCTTTGTCGCCATGCACATGTTTGAAACCTTGATGCCTTGTACGGCTCCAGCTCCGGGAACTGTCCCCCGCGCGGTTCCGCGGTCCGGTTGGACGCCGTCGACCCAACCGTACGGTTGACAGTATTTACGTTTGGCCGACCGTAAAGTCAACATAATTGCTGACCGTATGGCTGACCGTACGGCTGACCGTACGGCTGACCGTACGGCCAACTGTATGGTCGGCCGTACAGACAACCGTGCGGTCAACCGCACGGTCAGCCGTACGGTCAGCCGCACGGTCAGCCGCACGGTCAGCCGTACGGTCAGCCGTACGGTCAGCCATACGGTCGGTCGACGGCATCCAACCGGACCGCGAAACCGCACGATTGACCGTGTAACCGCGCAACCGTACCGAACGGCGAACCGTACAGCCGCGAAACCGTACGGTCGACACGGTTGCACGGTTTACGGTCAAAAGCAGTAGCCCGACGCCCTTCTGATACCCTAGCTAAACCCTAGCCAAGCCCTAGCCCTAAACCCCAAGCCCTAAATCCTTCCAGCTTATAGTTCTGGCTGTTTAATCAGAGGTCAGAGGTCTCATCGCGAAATTTCCACAAAGCTTTTCGAATGCGGGGGACCCCCACACCCCAAACCCCCAGAGCTCTAAACAAACAACAAGCAAGCCCCAACACCCCAAACACCCTGAACCAACCACCAGACCCTAAATCCTAAACCCTAACCCTAAACCCTAAACCCTAAACCCCAAACCCTAAACCCTGAACCCTAAACCCTAAACCGCAAACCGTAAACCCTAAACCGAACCCAGGCCCTAACTGACTGAACTTTCTGACCCCTGGTGGCCTCTCCCAGCACGGCGCTGGAGGGAACGCGGCAGCCTAGCGACTGCGAGTTGAAGGTAACTTAAGGGTTCAGGGTTTAGGGTTTAGGGTTTAGGGTTTAGGGTTTAGGGTTTCGGGTTTCGGGTTTAGGGTTCAGGGTTCAGGGTCCTCGGTTTAGGCTGTTTTGGGGTGCAGGGTTTAGGGTAAAACCCTGAGCGTTTGGGGTTCAGGGTGGTTCAGGGTTTAGGGTTGAGTGTGATTAGCTGTGTGTTCTGGTGATGATTGCTTTAGTCCGTGCTATTGTCATTGCGAATGCACTTCTGGAGGAATAAGGCGACGAGAACATGAAGCGGGCGTCCTGTTGCTTTGCCATATTGACTGTATTGACTAAGGGGTATAAGGAGGGACCCCTGGAGCCCCCTTTGTATACCTTATATAGTCCCTAACATAGTCCCTATATACTCTAAGTAGCCCCTAAATAACCTCTCAATAACCCAAAGTCCCTGATAACCTCTTAAGGGTCCTCTCCTAGTCCCTTGAACGGAACGACAGCAGCCTGATCCCAAAGCACTAAACCTAAACATCCCCAACCCCCCCCCCCCCCCAATCTGTCCTGAAGCTTCGAACCCAAGTCCTTACAGCACTGTGCCTCACAATCACAGTCCCCTAAACCATAAACTTACTGAAAGACGCACAACGTTCCGCCAATACTTCCATACCATGCGTGAGCGCTCTGTCTGCAAGCCCGTCAGTCCACTGAACGATGCCACCCTAAACCCTAAACCCTAAGCCCCAAGCCCTGAACCCTAAACCCTAGACCCATGTCTTCTCGGATTGCATGATCTCGGCCAATGCTTTTTCCCAGGCTTCCCCCAGGAGACCCTAAACCCCAAACCCTACACCCTAAACCCTAAACCCTAAACCCTAAACCCTACAAAGTGAAGGTGTCAGAATAATAGTCCCACAACGGCAATTGCAGATTCAATTACAAGTGACAGGTTCTCAAAGGCCCTCCAGGAATGCCCAGTGCATGCCAACCCTACTGTAAATCCTAAACCCTTGCCCGAAACCCTAAACCCTAAACCCTAAACCCCAAACCCTAAACCCTAAACCCCACACACGTTTCGAGCACGCATAAGGAGATGGGCCTTCTAAGATCACCTCGCAGGTCGACGACGCACGAATGCCGAGCTTGTCTTCCTGTAAGTGCTGTGAGGGTTTAGGGTTTAGGGTTTAGGGTTTAGGGTTTAGGGTTTAGGGTTTAGGGTTTAGGGTTTAGGGTTTGGGGTTTGGGGTTTGGGGTTTGGGGTTTGGGGTTTGGGGTTTGGGGTTTGGGGTTTGGGTTTGGGGTTTGGGGTTTGGGGTTTGGGGTTTGGGGTTTGGGGTTTGGGGTTTGGGGTTTGGGGTTTGGGGTTTAGGGTTTAGGGTTTAGGGTTTAGGCTTAGGATTTAGGGTTTAGGTCTTAGGGTTTAGTTTGGGGTTTAGGGTTTGGGGTGTCGTGATATAAGCCTCTAACCCGAAGTTGTAATCCCCGAACACCACAACCCCTGCACCGTGACTTCGATTCCTCCAGGGATCAATCTCAGGGCTTCCTAAACGAACCATGAAGGGTAGACTTCTGCATTCGAGGGTTTGGGGCAACCCAGATCCCTCAGCCCTAAACGCTGAATACCGAACCCTAAACCCTAAACCCGCCCCAAACCCCCGAACACCAAAATTAGACTGGGCTTGCTTCAGTGGTTTTAACCAGGTGCAGGGTTTGAAGGGGTTCAAGCAAGCTGCATGCTTCATCATCTCCCTAAGCCCTGAACCCCCAAAATCCCTAAACCCCCTGGTTCTTAGTAGGGAATGAGGGAAATAGGGCCCATACACACGAACTAAAGGAGTTTGTTAGGGTACCTCATTCCCGCATTCCCTACTCAGAACCAACCAGAAACCCCAAAGCCCATTCTAAGGAAGCCCTCTGACCCCCTCCTTCTTCCCAATGCTGAGCCCTGGGGTATCCCGGTCCATCACAAAGGCCGTGATGCCTGCTCTGGGCTGCAGGACCGATGTTCACATGGGAGCAGTAAAACTAAAATTGCAATAGCAAATTGGGACGTTCCCCTATACTAACAGCCCTTAATAAGGATGATGATCGGGGGTACTGTAATCCCTATCAAGGACTGTTAGCCTGGGGGGGGGAGAACATCTCGAATAGCAACACACATTAGAACTACCGCAAGACATAAGAACCCAGAGGCATGGCACGAAGATCAGGATCGGAATGCTCTCTCAAAGGCAAAAAAGGGCCGCGATGTAACTTAACCTTCCAGAACCTACTTCCTTTGGTAGGGACCTTACATAGGCTTCGGGTTGAGGGCTTAGGGAAAAGTAAACTCTGGAACAAAGAAGGCAAGTAGCGTGTAGGCTTTGTGCTTTGCGCTCTGATTTTGAAGGCCTGGATGGGTTCTACTAAAGGCAGTCAAGCTAAGCTCCCCCTAAGGCGTACACCCCGGAGCCCTGAAACCGACCCTTTGAAAAACTGAATTCTAAACCTAAGCAAATCGAAACCGAAACCCCGGAACCCCTCAACCGCTTAAACCCTAACCGCTAAAACCCTCCCACACCCCCCCAAAAAAAAACTAAATAATCAAGAAATAACCTAAAACCCTAGGCCTAGACCCCTAAAACCCTAAAACCCTATACCCCTTAAACCCCTTAAATCCCTCAAACCCCTTAAACCCCTTAAACCCCTTAAAACCCCTTAAACCCCTTAAACCCCTTAAACCCCTTAAACCCCCTAAACCCCCTAAACCCCTTAAACCCCTTAAACCCCATGACCCCTACAAACCTCGTCAATCCGCGCCCTTCGCCTGCCTCGGTGGCCCATCCTGGGATCCACCGTAGCAAAGACGATGAACACACCTGCCTCGGAATATCACGGGCCTTGTGTCCCCCCCGAAAACCTCAGACTCTTGGGGGTTCAAGGTTTAGGGTTCAGGGTTTAGGGTTTAGGGTTTAGGGTCTAGGGTCTAGGCTTCAGAGTTTAGACCCTAAACCCTACACCCCAAACCATGTAAGACTGGTTGATTTTGCCTGGGCTTCGGGCAGGGGCGGCAGGGGTTTCGATGATAAAGGGCCGTGGCCCGTCATTGAGGTGTGAGGCAGCATACCCACCTCTCCCCCCTCAATGCCCAAGCTTGCCCCCTTAAGAGCCCAAACCCTGGACACTTCCCTTTCGGGCTGCAGGTAGTTTGAGGTTAAGGGTTTTGGGGTTTATATAGGGTTTTAGGGTTTTAGGGTTTTAGGGCTTTAGGGCTTTAGGGCTTTAGGGTTTTAGGGTTTAGGGTTTAGGGTTCAGGGCTTCGGGCAGTTTCGGGTTCGGGAGCATCTTGCCACACCCCTGGTGGCCTCCAGGCTGGACGATATCCAGCACTTGCTGCCGTTGATGATCCAGTCGTTACCATCCTTCACCTCAATTTTGGGGTTTAGGGTTTAGGGTTTAGGGTTTAGGGTTTAGGGTTGAGGGTTGAGGGTTTAGGGTTTAGGGTTTAGGGGATGGCTTTCAAGGGATTTAAGAGCTTCAGGGAGTTGGGGTTTAGGGGCTTAGGGCTTTAGGATTTAGGGTTTAAGGTGTAGGGCTTCAGGGTTTACAGGACTCGGGGGTATGCTCGTATCAACCTACTAGCTCTTCGTGGACAGTGAGGTAGCTTACAGCACATGCCGCCGTAAAAGCCTTCAAGGGATTTCATACGGACTCAATCAAGAATTTCGGTCTAGAGTCTAGGGTTGAGGGGAATAGCTTCGTAGGGGATAAGGGCCCGTGTAAGGCTTATATACGGCACCTATTCCCAGAATTCCCAGATTCCCTGCGAAGAGCCAGTCACTATTGTTCCCGAAAAACGTAGGGTTGGGGGGGTTAGGGGTTCAGGGCCTGGGCCGGGTCGTGGCGCAAGGATATCAGGGGTTGAGGGCTTTAGAGCCGAGGGTGTCTCCTTGAGGGGCCGCGCCCCGCTTGCGCTCCTCCCTCGTCTCGGCCTTTGCGGGTTTGGGGTTCCCTTGCTTTCCGATCGTGCTCACGTTTTTCATCCATCCGTGCTTGAACTCGCGGAGTGGCAGTAAGCAGGCTAGGGCCTGTCCACAACATGTCAGGGTGCGGATCCTTCGAAACTTGAGGGCTCCGTCCCTGGTATAGCTTGCTTCTCCAATAACCAAGGGAACAAAAGGTTAAACTTTAACATTCCTACTACATAGGGAAACCTAAAAAGTGTAAAGTTCCACTAAAGGCGAAGTAAGATAAGGTTTAGGGTTTAGCGTTTAGGGTTTAGGGTTTAGGGTTTAGGGTTTAGGGTTTAGGGTTTAGGGTTTAGGGATTCCAGGATGGGGCTTAGGATTTCCTCTCGACTCAGCTGAGTGGCCGCTCGCGTGGAGAGCGCGAAGGCATCCGAGCCACTACCAGGTTCGGAGAGGCAGAAGCTGCTCACGGTATCTGGCAGGTTTAGGGTTTAGGGTTTAGGGTTTAGGGTTTAGGGTTTAGGGTTTAGGGTTTAGGGTTTAGGGTTTAGGGTTTAGGGTTTGGGGTTTAGGGTTTAGGGTTTAGGGTTTAGGGGGTTTTTTAGGGTTTTCAGGGTTTAGGGTTTAGGGTTTAGGGGTTTTAGGGTTGGGGTTTAGGGTTTAGGTTTAGGGTTTAGAGTTTAGGTTTAGGGTTTAGGGTTTAGGGTTTAGGGTTTAGGTTTTAGGGTTAGGGTTTAGGGTTTAGGGTTAGGGTTAGGGTTTAGGGGTTAGGGTTTAGGGTTTAGGGTTTAGGGTTTAGGGTTTAGGGTTTAGGGTTTAGGGTTTAGGGTTTAGGGTTTAGGGTTTAGGGTTTAGGGTTTAGGGTTTAGAGTTTAGGGTTTAGGGTTCAGGGTTTAGGGTTTAGGGTTTAGGGTTTAGGGTTTAGGGTTTAGGGTTTAGGGTTTAGGGTTTAGGGCCACCCCAATAGGGTACCCCTAACTTCGGAAACCCTGAGATAATACTCTATATCGGGAAGCGCACAAACAGCCGAGAATTTGGAATGATGTTTCGATGCCCATGAGGGTTTAGGGCTTTTACGGCTTTAGGGCTTAGTTCACAGAACCCTAAACCCCATGGCTTGCATACCTTGGCATGCAGGACAACAAGCCGAGTGGACGCCAAATCCCTAAACCCTAAACCCTAAACCCTAAGCCCTAAGCCCTAAGCCCTAAGCCCTGAACCCTGCAGCTCGGCCCCCCAGTGAGCACTTGTAGTCTAGGTATTTTGGGCTGCGGGGTTTGGGATTGATTGCGCTTAAATCCGATAAAGCCCTAAGCCCCTTCAATTCCTGAAACCTAGACCCTAAAGCCCCACCGAAAAACCTTCAGAACCTAGACCCCTACAACCCTGGTAGTTCTTGGGAGTTCTTGGAACCCGAAACCCTAAACCCTAAACCCTAAACCCTAAAGCCTAAAGCCTAAACCCTAAACCCTAAACCCTAAACCCTAAACAAACCCTAAACACTAAACCCCAAACCCTTACTTCTTGGGAGGCTTTTCCATAGCCCCCGGGGCCTGTGGCCATGCGCGCCAAATATTGATCCCGTAGTTCTGGGGTTGCATATCTGCTGAAAGCCTCGACTCGGAAAGAGGATTTGTCAGGGGGTTTAGGGTTTAGGGTTTAGGGGTTCAGGGTTTAGGGTTGAGGGTTTATCTTTTTTCAGATATAGGGCCAGTTTCAAGCTTGCAGGTTCGGGGTGAAGCTGTGGATAAAAGGGTGCGTTTAGGGTTTAGGGTGCGCTTAGGCTTCAGGGTTCAGGGGCAAGGTTCAGGGTTTCGGGGCTTGGGGGTGAACTGGGGTGTTGAGTGTCTACTGGCTTCTATAGCTTCCGCTGCTTTCTGAAATGTAGTGGAGGAGCGGAATCCCTGTCATTCAAATGAGGCTATTCCGAAGATGACCCCTCGACTCTCGAGGCTCTTCTGCCCCTTATTGGCACCTGAAACCCCTTGAGCCCTCCACCCTAAACCCTAAACCACTTTCCTCTGGTTGTGCGGTGCTTCTTGGAACGGCACTCAGCGCAATTCCTAAAACCCAATGATGATAAGTAACAGCAAGCTCAAGAGAGGCGAAAAAAGAACTTGTTGTTGAGCTCGATATGATGCCGGTTTACTACTATTTGCTTAAGAACCCCAAAAGAATACAGAAACAATAATCCCTATATTACCCTTCATAAAGAAGAATATTTTCACCTTTGTGGGGTTCTTAAGCACTTAGTAGTTTAGTGCATTCGCCGCTGCTGATGTATGTAGCCAAGCGGCGGTGACGTTCAAGGTGTTGTGGATGTCCTGCGGCCATTCAGGATTGGCCCTGAAAACCTTGACCCCCAACCACAAGGAAGCTCGGGGAACCCTGAACCCCTAAGCTACTACTTGCCTAAGAACCCCAAAAAAGAAAAGATAAAGATTCGCCTTCTTGCCCTCATCAGGAAGAATATCTTTGATTATTGGGGGGGGTTCTTGAGCAAACAGTGGTACGCCCTCAACCTCTTGTTTCCCCTCAACCCTAAACCCTAAACCCTATGCCCTAAACCCTAAACCCTAAACCCTAAATCCTAAACCCTAAACCCTAAACCCCCAAGCCCTCGGCCCTTGTTTGGGATGGGGTTCGTTTTGTCGAAGGAGGTCCACCATAGCAGCCACTGCTGGGTCCACCCGCGCCAGCTCCTGCAGACGTGGTTTCGGGCTTGGTGCTGAAGTTGAGGGTTTAGGGTTTAGGGTTTAGGGTAGGGTTTTGGGGGTTTCAGGGTGTTCGCTTCGGGGGGTTTGGGGGTGTACGGGCTCTCAGGTTTCACGAGGTTAGGGTTGTGGGGAGCCTCCCTTTCCCCACACCTGAAACTCCGAACCGGGAGAACTTCTTAAAATCGCGAACTACCAAACATGCCTTGTGGGCCACCACCAGGGTTCAGGGTATAGGGTTTAGGGTTTAGGGTTACGGGTTTAGGTTTAGGGTTTAGGGTCTAGGGTTCCGGGTCTAGGGTTTATTCAGGGCATTTCGGGTTGGCGGCCAAGTCACTAAAGTCCAACACTTCAACCCCTCGAATGGGAAGGCAAGCCTTAGAGAAGAACCTAAACCTCCGAGACCCCCTAAACCCTAAACCCTAAACCCTAATTAAACCCGAAACCCTAAACCCTAAAAGCCAAAAAACAGACAGCCCCAACAGCCCTAAAAACCTAAACCACTAACCAGTAAAGCACAACAGCACTAAAACCCCCCCTCAACCCTCAATCCTGACAGCGCCCAGGGTTTAGGGTTTAGGGTTTAGGGTTTAGGGTTTAGGGTTTAGGGTTTAGGGTTTAGGGTTTAGGGTCTAGGGTTTAGGGTCTAGGGTTTAGGGTTTAGGGTTTAGGGTGTAGGGTTTAGGGTTTAGGGTTTAGGGTTTAGGGTCTTAGGTTTTTAGGGCCCAGTCCCCCCCCCCACCCCAAAAACAGATCCTCGATGGCCAGGCACGCGGCCGTAAATCCGAGGCCGACCCCGCCGAGGTCTTCCGGGACCTCGGCCAGCAAAGGCTCAGGGTTTGGGGTTTGGGGTTTAGGGTTTAGGGTTTAGGGTTTGGGGTTTGGGGTTTGGGGTTTGGGGTTTAGGGTTTAGGGTTTAGAGGGTTGGAGGGTTTAGAGTTAGGGTTTAGGGCTGAGGGGTAAGGGCTTTTAAGGGGACTTTTGGGGGGGCGCCAGGGCGCTTAGGGCTCTTAGGGGACGTCTTGGGGTTTTTGTTGGTCTTCTTGGGGCTGTTTGGGGGTTAGGGTCCGAGATGCACACGGTACCCTCAACCTTCAACACCAAAAAAACCACAAAACCCTAAAGCCCCAAACCGTAAATCCTAAGACCCTTTAAACAACCCTAACCCTAAACCCGTAAACGACCCCAAAACCCTAACCCTGAATAACCCGAAACCCAAGGCCCTAAACCTCTAAACAACCCCGAAACCCTAAACCCTAAACAACCCTAAACAACCCTAAACCCTGAACAACCCTTAAGCCCTAAACCCTGAATCCTAACAAACCCTAAACTCTAAACAACCCTAAGTAGCCCTCAACCTGGTAGTAGCAAACTGCAGAAGCCGCACCTCGATGCCCATGAGACCGTTCTCGAAGAGCGCCTTCAGAATCTCCGGGGACATCTTGGCATCCCGGTCCATCTCCTTTCAAGAAAGCCCCAACCCCCCCCCCCCCCCCCGAAAAAAAGAAGAAGAAGAAGAAAGAACCCAATACCCTAAACCCCCCAAACATTCAGGGCTTAGGGCTTAGGGTTTAGGGTTTCGGGTTTAGGGTTTAGGGTTTAGGGTTTAGGGTTTAGGGTTTAGGGTTTAGGGTTTAGGGTTTAGGGTTTACCCCGAGATCCGCTTAGCCGCCGTCCTGGACCTTCGGAGCCAGGATCTCCGTTGCAAAAGACTCGGCGGCGCCGCGGATCATCTCCTGCGACCCGGGTGCGACACGTGGGGTTTAGGGTTTAGGGTTTAGGGTTTAGGGTTTAGGGTTTAGGGTTTAGGGTTTAGGGTTTAGGGTTTAGGGTTTAGGGTTTAGGGTCTAGGGTTTAGGGTTTAAGGTGTGGGGTTTAGGGTTCAAGCGTTTAGGGTTCCGGGGCTTTGGGGTCTGGGGGCTTAGGGGTCAGGGAATTGGGGGCTTCTGCAACTTTAAGGGCTTGAGGTGAAGGAGTCAGAAGCTCCCAAGCCCTGAACATCTCGGCCAAAGCTCCGAGTTATGTCTGCACGCCATGTTCCGGGCTGGGGCTTAGGTCCCTAAACCCTAAACCCTAAACTCCACGCCCTAAACCTTTTTAAACCCTAGACCCTAGACCCTAAACCCTAAACCCTAAACCCTAAACCCTAAACCCTAAACCCTAAACCCTAGAACCCTAAACCCTAAACCCTAAACCCTAAACCCTAAGCCCTAACGGTTATATACCAATAAATGCGGCACGCCTCTCTTTTTTCAGGGCAGAAAAAAAGAGCTTCACGCCAACAATCTCTCAAGCCCACTTCACCTCGTCGCTGGACAGCTGCGTGGAGGCGAGGCGGCCCTGACTTCAGGCTTGGATTCTGGGTTTAGGGATTAGGGTTTAGGGTTTAGGGTTTAGGGTTTAGGGTTTAGGGTTTGTTCTGGGGCTTTGGGGTTCTAGTGTTCTAGGGTTCTGGGGCTTTGGGGTTATGGGGTTTTCGGGTTTTGGGGTTTGGGGTTTCGGGTTTAGGGTTTAGGGTTTAGGGTTTAGGGTTTAGGGTTTAGGGTTTAGGGTTTAGGGTTTAGGGTTTAGGTTTTTGAGGTTTAGGGGTTTGGGGTCTTCGGGTTTGGGTTTTGGGGATTGGGGTGCAGGGCACCTGGATCTGCTCAACCCTGCCCCCATCTGATCGAGTTCACTACACTCCCAAACCCTAAACCCTAAACCCTAAACCCTAAACCCTAAACCCTAAACCCTAAACCCTAAACCCTAAACCCTAAACCCTAAACCCTAAACCCTAAACCCTAAACCCTAACCTAAACCCTAAACCCTAAACCCTAAACCCTAAACCCTAAACCCTAAACCCTAAACCCTAAACCCTAAACCCTAAACCCAAACCCTAAACCCTAAACCCCAAACCCTAAACTCCGATCCACCTTCAACCCTGCACTTCTGTAAACCCAAACCCTGAGCATCTAAAGGAAAACCGCCCGAAACCCGCAACGCCACACACAAAAGCCCTCCCAAGTCCCCCAAGGAGGGCGTCGTAGGGTTTAGGGTTTAGGGTTTAGGGTTTAGGGTTTAGGGTTTAGGGTTTAGGGTTTAGGGTTTAGGGTTTAGGGTTTAGGGTTTAGGGTTTAGGGTTTAGGGTTTAGGGTTTAGGGTTTAGGGTTTAGGGTTTAGGGTTTAGGGTTTAGGGTTTAGGGTTTAGGGTTTAGGGTTTAGGGTTTAGGGTTTAGGGTTTAGGGTTTAGGGTTTAGGGTTTAGGGTTTAGGGTTTAGGGTTTAGGGTTTAGGGTTTAGGGTTTAGAGTTTAGTTACAGGGTTTAAGGTTAGCGCTAGGATTCAGGGTTTACGGTTTAGGGTTTAGGGTTCAGGGTTCAGGGTCAGGGATGTAGGTCCCAAAGTCCCGGGCCTGCAAAAACTGGCTGAAGAGCTGAGGGCCATTTAGGGAGGAGCATGTAGGGTTTGAGGGCATCGGTTGGGATGTTCACCCCTATACAAACAGTCCTTGATGGGGATTCTACTTGCAGGGGGTACGAGAGTCCCTATTGAGGAACTGCTAGTATACGGCCCAAGGTGCAGGGATGTGCAGGGCCTCGGAGGTCTAGGCTTAGAACTGAGGGTTTTGGGGCCAGAAGGTTCGAAGAACTGCGGTTGGTTTCGATACTACCCCCCCTCTAAACTACCCTGCCTAGATTCCCCCCTGAAATAACCTTCACTACACTCGATGACCCTAAATAGCCTTAACTATTTGGGGAATCTATGGGTATTATAGAGGGGGGGGGACCCTAAACCCTAAACCCTAACCCCAAACCCCAAACCCCAAACCCCAAACCCCAAACCCTAAACCCTAAACCCTCACTGGTAGTAGGGGAACCCATGACACCAGGGCCTCGCTGAAGAGGCGGAGCTGCTGCGAGGCATGCAGCAGAGGTCTCAGAAGTTGGGGGCTCTTCAACGGGGGGTGGGGGAAAGAGGGTTACGCCAAACCCTAAACCCTAAACCCTAAACCCTGAACCCTAAACCCTAAACCCTAATTCCTAAACCCTAACCCCTAAACCCTAAGCCCTAAACCCTAAACCCTAAACCCTAAACCCCCACAAAAAAAACACACACAAGGAGCCCCGAGACCCCAAAACGCGGCAGCTTGTCGTCGCGCCTAATCCCCTCACCCCAATATTAAACCCCCTCTATCCATATTAAATCCCTAAACCCTAGACCCTAAACCCCTAAACCTACTATAATATGGGGGGGGGTTTAGGAAAATGAGGGACCCCTAATATAGACCCCCAATAGAGGATTCCCTGATAAGAAGGACTCCAATATGGTACCCCTAATTTCGGAAACCCCATATGTGGGTTTACGAAAATAGTAGGGGGTTTCCGAAATTAGGGACCCCTAAGCCTAAAATACCCCCCCCCCCCCACCACCTAGTAGGATTCCCGTATAATAAGGATCCCAAGCAAGTAGTCCTTAATTTCGGAAAACCCCATATAGCTATAATGGGGGGGGGGGTGTTTAATATTAGGTGGGTTTAATATGAGGGGCAGGGGATAAGGGGTGCCCAAGGGCCCCGGCGTGCTTTTGTTGGCGTTAACGGGCTGGGGGTCTTAGGGCCTTTGGGGGTGCAGGGCCCAGGGGTTTAGGGTGTAGAAGGATTTAGGGGTGGGTGTTCGGGTTTCGGGGTCTAGAATATAGGGTCTAGGGGGTTTAAGGTTGGTGGGTTTGGGGGTTTTGGGGCTGAGGGGTGAAACCCCTGAACCACGCCCTCAAAGGCCCCGACCGGGCTCGAGCAGCTTCTGTTGCACCTAGGAGAGCTTTAGGCATTAAGGGCTTAGGAGGCTTAGGAAAACCCTAAACCCTAAACCCTGAACCCTTAAACCTAAACCCTGAACAAGAGTTGGGACATATTGAGGTCGATGCTACTTGTGAACCTGCCCGAACAAACAACCCTAAACCCTAAACCCTAAACCCTAAACCCTAAACCCTGTTGGTACTTGTGGCGCGGAGGCTTTGGAGTCTCTGGTCCTTGGGGGCCTTTTGGGTTTTGATATGACCTCAGAAGTCTTCAAGTCCTGAACCCTACACAGAGAGCCTGGCAAAGAGAGAATACCAAGCACCCCCAGCAACAAAGAGCTCTGAATCTGCATCAGGGTTTAGGCTAGAAATGGGTTTAGGGTTTAGGGTTTAGAGGTTCAGGGTTTATAGGTTTAGGGGCTAGGGCTTCGTAATCTCAACCTTGCGCCCAAAGCACCCTAAACCCTTATACACTCAAAGCGGAACCCTAAAAGCTCAACCCTAAACCCTCAACCCGAAAAACAGCTTAACACCATCATGAGCTGCTGTCAAAAAATCGCTTGCTTGTTCATACCCCTGGGCATGTCCCTGAACTAGGGCAAAGAGTTTAGGTGCTTAGGGCTTAGGGTTTAGGGAAACCCAAAATTAGGGCTGGAACTGCGGCTGCCCAGGCGGAAGAGCTCTCGGGTAAGAGCGCGCATGGCTACAAGGGCCACAAACTCAACGCCAGCTAAGGAGCTCTTAAGCATGGAACCCCAAGAAATTCGCCTGAAAAATCGGGTGTGAGTGGGGAGGGTGCTGCATGCACGCGTAGGTAGATTTCCATGGGAGTGCTGTAGCTGACCTGGTGGGGGTATGTAATATGTAGCTCATGCGCCATTTGGGAGCTTGCGGAGCTAAAATGATCATGAGCTGCAGAGTTGGCTCTTCTTGGCTGGGCCTTGTGGCGAAGCTGTCATGCGGATGAAAGGCGCGCGAAACTGCCGCTTCTAACCCTTAAGACACCGAAGCCAACATGCCAAGCTTTCAAGAGGCTGACGGGTAGTTCTGTCGCGAGTAATCGGAGGTTCTGAAGAATGAAAAAGCACCAACGGGCTGGAGTTCGAAAGTTTGGAGAAAAGCTCTGGAGCTCGAAAGTTTGAAGCGGGGGGAATTTCAAAGGTCATGAGTCATGAGGTTGAGAGTTTGAGAGCTGGAAAGTTTGAAGCTTCAAACTGTGGCGTTTGACGACACCAGATCACCGCAAAAGAGTCCTACAAACCCTGTAAACCCAAAGCAGATACTGTGCATCTTCAGACTACGTAGGCTTTGGGTTTTACGATTTCGCGTTCGGGAAACGGCTTCGGCTACGATGTGCTTTTGTTGAGCAGAAAAACTCTCAACAGGGCAAGGGGTCCTTTAAAAAAAGAAAGAAGGAGCCCTCCACAGCTCTTCAACACCCTATGTTATGAACCCCCGAATACCCCTGTAAACCCTAAATCCTAAACCCTAAACCCTAAATCCTAAACCCTAAACCCTAAACCCTAAACCCTAAATCCTAAATCCTAAACCCTAAACCCTAAACCCTAAACCCTAAACCCTAAACCCTAAACCCTAAACCCTAAACCAAATCAACGGGCCTGGGCCATGATCAGGAACATGCCTCGCAGCGAGGCCGTGAGCGCAGCCAGCGCCAGCAAGCATGCGGCCACGACTGCCTTTCGCAGGGGCGTCATGGAAGCCCTTTAGGTTTAGGGTTTAGGGTTTAGGGTTTAGGGTTTAGGGTTTAGGGTTTAGGGTTTAGGGTTTAGGGTTTAGGGTTTAGGGTTTAGGGTTTAGGGTTTAGGGTTTAGGGTTTAGGGTTTAGGGTTTAGGGTTTAGGGTTTAGGGTTTAGGGTTTAGGGTTTAGGGTTTAGGGCTTGGCGCTTAGGGAAGCCCCAAAGCAGAAAACCTAAACCCGAAAGCCCAATTGTAAGCTTGGGCCCGAAGTCTGGAAAGTTGCTAAAGTCCAGTCGAAACTTAGTTCGGGTTTAAGGCTTAGGGTTTAGGGTTTAGGGTTTAGGGTTTAGGGTTTAGGGTTTAGGGTTTAGGGCCACAGAAGAGGGACCCTGTGCGCTTCTTTGCGGATTTTCTTTCATCTCCTTCCTCTCTTCCAGCTCGCGGTGGCTGGAAGTGGCAATAAGGTCTGCTGCAAAGCTTATCTCGCAAGCATCCCATTGCCTTCCCGAAACAAATGGGAAAAGGAGTGTCTCTGTGTTAGGGTTTAAGGCTTAGGGTTTAGGGTTTGGGGTTTGGGGTTTAGGGCTTAGGGTTTAGGGTTTGGGGTTTAGGGTTTAGGGTTTAGGGTTTAGGGTTTAGGGTTTAGGGTTTAGGGTTTAGGGTCTGTGGAGGACTCAGACAGCATCCAGCATGCGACGCGCCTTTCCCTTCTGTGCGTAAGCCATTGCTGACTGCTTTGGGCATCCAGTGATCCCTCGTGCTTTTTCTGTGCTGCTTGTACAAGGAAGCTGCCAAGGTTTGCCACAGGCTCGGCCGTACGCCACTGCAACATCCCGCTGCCTCCCTCTTACATGCCCGAAAAAAAGGCGTGCCTCTACAACTGACATTTTTAGCAAGGAGATACCCTAAAACCCTAAACCCTAAACTTACCCTAAACCCTAAACCCGAAGATGCAATACGCCTTTCTCCTGCAGGGAACAGCCTTTGGCCGTTCACCGAATCGATGGACAACTATGGAGCCATCAAGCCCACCATCAAGCCCCATGTGCGAGTTTCCTCAAGTCAGTAGCCCCTTTCATTTCAGGACATGCAACTCTTTTTTTGAAGAGGTATTGGGGGGGTGGACAACGGGGCGAGGCACCCGAACTTGGAAACTCCCTTTTGTGCAATCCCATGACGATTTCTCGTGGCTTATGCGATCCGAGCTGTGCCAGAACCGTGATGAAACAGGGTTTATAGTAGCATCGGGTAGACGATCCCCAATTTCCAGACTACAGCTCCAGCAGGATAGCTACCGTAACTTCAAGGGCGTCCCAACATAAGCGCCCCTAAACCCTAAACCCTAAACCCTAAACCCTAAACCCTAAACTCTAAACTCTAAACCCGAATCGCAGATTGAAGAAGCGGCCGAAATGATCAGGCCGCGGGTGCAGTGCTATGACCACCATCATGCTGCAAGTCCGTTCGGGCTTCCGAACATCTGTTTAGGGTTTAGGGTTTAGGGTTTAGGGTTTAGGGTTTAGGGTTTAGGGGTTTAGGGTTTAGGGTTTAGGGTTTAGGGTTTAGGGTTTAGGGTTTAGGGTTTAGGGTTTAGGGTTTAGGGTTCAGGGTTCAGGGTTTAGGGTTTAGGGGGGGGGTCATTCCAAGGAGATTCGACTAGATTCCGGGGCATCAAGGGGGAAACCACAATTTTGGAAGTCCCGTCGTCGAAACCTATGCGCTGCTTTAAGGTTTCCAGGAATCAACAGCTCCTGCGATTCGGCTGTGCCAACCTGTGATCACATGCCCCTCAAAAGGCTGCGCAAGCCCACCCACATGGTGTCTTGACCAAACTCCTACTTCTCAGCAGCCCCCTCCAATTTCATACCATAATTGTCGGGTAGCTAATGAGCCTAATGCGAGCATATGGCACATCTTCCAAGCAAGAGAGAATAACGAGCGGTGAGCGCCGCAATGCTCGGAACCCGAATCACGAAATGAAACAGTTCTGGCGACAGCTGCTGTGGACTATCCCTAAGCCCTCAACCCTAACAAACGCCTAAACCCTAAACATCCCCAAACCCTATACCTCCGACAAAGCATGTCATCCAATATCGGGGCCTGAAAAACTAGAATAGGGTTTTGGGGGTTATTATGGTATAATTACACAGGGACCACAAGGGAATATTATTAGCAATTATTCCGACCCCTCTCTTGCTTATTTCTAATCCCCCTACACCTAAACCCGAAACCTTAAACCCTAAACCCTAAACCCTAAACCCTAAACCCTAAACTCTATCATACTTGAATTTCTAATCCACCTACAGTCGGTCCCTCCGGAGAACTCTTTGACGGCAGAATCCGCGTAGCACAAACACGAGGGCTCGTACGTAGCATCGAGCACACACTAAGCTGGAGTATCCCTAAACCCTAAACCCTAAACCCTAAACCCTAAACCCTAAACCCTAAACCCTAAACCCTAAACCCTAAACCGATGACCAGCAGCAGTGTCAGGTAGTTCGAAAGGAAGACTCCAAAGCTGCAAGCAAAGCACATGCCCTGCGGTCGAGCACACGAAGTTTACGCAAATAAGGGACCCCAAAAATAATTCCCACATAGTAGGATATTCCCAAAAAACAGGAGTCCAAGAATAAGGTACCCCTAATTGCGGAAACCCCCATATCATGTTACACTCTGCTTTCTGTGACTGTACATGTATATGCAGTGATCTGAAGTGAGTCGAGTGCAGGCTCCCAATATTCCATGACACAACCCTAAACCCTAAACTCTAAACCCTAAACCCTAAACCCTAACCCTCAACCCTAAGCCCTAAGCCCTAAACCCTAAACCCTAACCCCGAAACCCTAACCCCTAAACCCTAAACCCTAAACCCATAATGCCGGGGCTTCACTCCGGCCAGTGCGCCACAGGGGAGTGCAAAAGTTACGAAATTCCGAAGCGCACGGCTCGCGTTCTAAAGGTGCCGGCGGCGCAGCCCGCATCAAGACTTTTTCGAAGCTAGGAGTACAGGGTTTAGGGTTTAGGGTTTAGGGTTTAGGGTTTAGGGTTTAGGGTTTAGGGCCGATGCAGTTGCTGAGCCCCACAGCGCCACCAACGCTGCCTGCTTCTAGAACATCTGCAAGTTCAGGAGAGAATGTGGTACAGCTCAGGCACTGGGCTGATACCTCGCTTGCGGCAAAAGCGAGTGAAGTGCACACGGATATTTTCGAGCAATGTAGTCACCCGGTTGATTCCTTCGTCCAAGTCCTCCTGGTTCTCACATCGTAGCACCACTTCCACCGGCTTCTCGATGCTAGCACCTTTGTTGACTCGGATGTAGGCGTTGCATGCCTCCCGGATCGCACTCATGTTGCCACCGCCACGTCCGATTAACCGGGGAACGAGTTCGAAGTCAGCATGGTTGACGGCATCGAACCCTGTAAAGACGAAGCGGCGCAGAAACTGTCCCAGGTTGGCGCCCCCCACCCCTCCCCCCCCCCACCCCCTTGCAGCTTCCGGACGATCGGGCCTGGACGGAGGATCCACGGCTCGCATCCCACGCCTCCTCAGCTTTTTGTCGGGAATTTCCTGTGCCCTGGAGCTTAGGGAGCACCTAAGCTTGGGGGAACATTGGCCTCTCGAGTCCATGGTTGCATCGATGATTTGAGAGCTCTTGGGTGCGGTTGTCACATGCATCGGGGGCAGTAAACACTGGGCGATCTCCTTCCAGCGTGATGGCGAGATTGGCACCTTCATGGGCATGACGTCGCGCCAGGAAGTGTGAGAAGAAGGAGTGGACGTAACCGAACCGGCGCACATTGGGGTGTGCTCCTCCTCTGAGACAGCTTCGTCGGTGGTTTCGCTGAGCCTCGTCTCATTGTCTTCTTCCAGCTCGATCACATTGAAGGGCTTCTTTTCATCTGCCTTTGACTTTGCGACAGCTCCGAGCGGGTGAGGTGGTTGGTTGACATGGTCATCCACAAACTCATCCCACGCAAACTCGCGGCTGCAAGACAGAGCCATG